GTGTGTGTGTGTGCGTGTCTGTGAGTGTGTGTATGTGTGTGTATATGTGTGCTCATGTTTGTGCGATTGTGCGAGTACATAGCGTGTGAATAGGGGCACAACGATTATTGTGTTTCACCTTTGATTAGTGAGAATGGTGTCGATGATGTGTGCCGGACCAAAAACACCGTGATTCCGTAAAGGGCAATAATAGACTTCGAATGTAGGACAAATTCTAGTGGTTTGACGCATGTATTGATCCTCGTGCTGTGTGTGTTGTGTGTGTGTGTGTGTGTGTGTGTGTGTGTGTGTGATATCCGGCGGCCTGGGGACGCCGGACCACTCCATCGTATCATCCGGCGGCTCGGGGATGCCGGACCATCCAATCATGCAGTTCGGCATCCCCGTCACGCCTCCCCACGTGAACGCATGGCTCGACACCCCTGTCACGGCGGAGCATGCCATGACATGCCGAAGCATGGTGTCAGGTGGTATGCCTTCCTGGAGACCGTGGACGGTGGAGCACCGAACGTTTAGTCTGTTAGGGGAGACATTTGGAGAAGCAGTTAATGGGCGGGCGCCCAAGGAGCATATGGTGTTGTCATGTTATCCAGGAAAGCGAAATATGTGGGTGCATGTGCGTGGCAAAGGATGCTGGTAGAACTTGTAGACCAGTTTTCATAGTAAGTGACAAACAGAGTACTTGCAGTTCATTTATGCGATGGGATCACGTCGATCGGAGTAAAATGTCGAAAAGTGACTAAAATTTCATTCGCTTCCATTGTAAGTGTTGAGGATGGGGAATGACTTAAGTTCGCATTATCTTTTTTTTCTCTCTCTCTCTCTCTCTCTCTCTCTCTCTCTCTCTCTCTCTCTCTCTCTCTCTCTCAAGCGCGCGCGCGCGCGCACACACACACGGGGTACCGGGCGACACTGAATGAGGGAGTGATTGACAAGCACGGTTTGAACATGTACATGTTAATGGATATGCCACAAGCAGACATTATCAACACACAGTTCAAATTGTTGCTCGTTGATGCTGTTAACCAGTGCTATGGAGGCGAACGCAGCTGTGTACATGGCTGGACTATTCACTTAGCAACGGACGCTCTGAATGAGACTTAGGAAGAAGCATTACGTCACATGAGCATAGAGTTGAATAATACGAAAACCTTGGCAACCACGATGAATGAAGCCACGGGGGAGCGGCTGTTATTCACAGTGCATGACTTCAACGTCCTCATCCATGAGAACGAGTGGTTGAACGACAACATTGTGAATTTCTACATGAAACTCATTCTGCATGACAACAATTGCAGAAAGTTTCATCGTGAACGTGATACTTCCTTTGACAAGTCAAATGCATGTGGAGCACGCACGGTCCCTGTCACCGCTGCATATAGCTCATACTTTTTCGCTAAGTTGTTAGGGAAAAACATGGAATATAGCTACGAGAGAGTTGCTCGGTGGTTTCGAGATGTAATCATAGCAGACACGGAGTTGATTCTAACTCCGTATCACGATATAAAACGGAAACACTGGACCCTTTTGGTAGCCGACCGTCGACGACATGTCATAGAGTATTACGATTCGATGGACACGAGCATCGAGTTTGCTAAAGAGTTGACAGGGCACTTCGCAAGCTTTATAGTACAGCGCTCGACTCAGCAAGGAAGACATGTAGACATATCATGCTTCGAACATAATTGTCTCGTGGATGACATTCCGAAACAAGAGGACGCATATCAGTGCGGAGTGTTTATGCTCACTTATGCATCTCTTCTGGCTAGAGGCAAGGTGTCACCATTCCATTTCTCAATGAAGGACATCCAGGGCATTAGACGAAGGATCGCCATAGACTCGATAGCTTCGTAACTTGTAGTATATCATGTGAACTTCTTTGTAATCTTTTTGTTTTTTTCGTGTTGTACATTACTGATAACGCTATAGTGTTTTGCATGGGAAGGTCACATTTGCGACGTATTTCTGCAATACAATGGATATCTCCTGTTGCCTCTGTTGACAAATAAACAGCGAAGAAATGTGAAATGAGGTTAAAACTCTTTGAGTAATTCCACGAATGACGTTGGGTGCATATGGTATGAATGTTTTATCTCGGTAGAGGTTACAACGTTCATGGGGATAAGTGTGGCAATAACACGATATCATAAAGACAAATGCTCAAATAACGGCAGACCTGACGATGGAAGCCGTGTCATATACTTGTGATACGAAGGATGAGAGTCCGATGATGTGTGCCGGATGATGCACCCTTACGGTGCATGCCGGGCCATGCCATGGTGACCTTTGGGGTGTATTTTAGAGTCCGATGATGTGTGCCGGATGATGCACCCTTACGGTGCATGTCGGGCCATGCCATGGTGACCTTTGGGGTGTATTTTAACATTATGATGATGTATGTTGTATGATGGACTCTTAGGGTAGAGGATATACCATATCATACTTGTGGTGAATGGTCAATGATAGATGATAGACATCTTATGGGAAAGGGTATACTAAGACCATGTGATGGTAGCCATCACTACAAAGAAAGAAGTCACTCATTTTCACACAAAAAACATAGGCGAAATTGTGAAAGCTCAATTTCGCGAAAATAGTAAAAAATGTCAATTTTAACGAAATGTCAGTTTAAACCAAAGATCCGTAACGTGACGCAGAGGACTGAGTGGACAACGTGGCCCGAACAGAATCGTGACAAGCATCGTGCATTCTCATACGTAATGTACGTAATAACCGAGGACCTGCAAATGTGATGAAAGGACTGAATGGACAATGAGGCGCGATCAGAGACTCGACGAGCGATGTGCGTTCCTCATTCATTCATAGTGGTGATGAAATAGCGCAGGGAGGACTTAGATACTAGTCTTGTCTTGACCGGGACTTACCTCTATCTCGTAGTACACAATAGCGAAGCAGAATGCTAGGATACCTATGACTAGCCCAATCAATGCTCCAACGCAGACCAACCATG